TCACTTATCTATTACCCTGGATTCTTTTTCTTTTCTCTGTTAACAACCAACTTCTATTAATTCCTCTTTCATTCTTCCTATAATTTTTACTTCTGTCTCTTCTCCTCCTTCCTCATAAACATCACTTCCTACACCACTTCTATTCTCTCCTTTCCCACCATTTGATACTGTAAATCCTTTTGCAAACTACTGTTTATACTGTAGAGAATAACTGAAAGCATCATTTCTGTTTATTGTGAGAAAACTGTAGACATCTTACTAGGAGATTTTTTTATTTAAGTTTATATATTGTTTGCATTAGGTGCTGTGAAAATTGGTCTTCCCCTTAAAGGTGACGTACTGGAAAAATACAGGGACACTAAAAGTCTACAGGATAGAAACTGTACTGCCTCAGATCCACATTGCTAGATGGGCAAACACACAAACAGAATGAAAAAGAAAAGTGAACAAAACACACCCAACAAATTAAGATGCTCCAACAATAGAATTCTTTGATAACACAGTAGGAGAAATGTCAGAGAAGGAGTTTAGAATAGTTACACAGTTAAACTGATCCAAAATATAAAGAATGATATAAGAAGTGAAATCAGGGATAAATTTCATGAGGTGAAATATCATTTCAATAAAGAGAGAGAGATTCTGAAAAGAAACCAAGCAGAAATCCTCAAAATGAGGGAATCAATAAACCAAATTAAAAATTCAATGAAAATCATCACCATGTGAAAGACAGACCCTTTGGCGATGAAGATAAAATATATAATCTTGAAAATAAAGTTCACCATGCAGAGAAGATGATAAGAAACCATGAACAGACTTAAAAAATGGGATAACATGAAAAGACAAAATTTAAGATTTATTAGCATAGATGAAGGCACAGAGATACAGACTAAAGGAGAGCACAGTCTTTTAATAAATAATATCAGAAAATTTCCCAAACCTAAAGAATTAAATGGAAAATCAAGTACAAGAGGCTTATAGGATCCCAAATGTACAAAATCACAAGAGACCCACACCAAGGCACATTATAATAAATATGCATAACATACAGAATAAGAATAGAATTTTAAAGACTGAAAGAGAAAAATATCAGTTTACATATAGAGGAAACTAATTTGGACCTCAGCTGATTTCTCAACCCTAACTCTCAAAGCTAGGAGGTCATAGAATACTATAAACCTGAAAGAAAATGGATGACAAACAAGAATTAAGTATCCAGCAAAATTAAGCTTCAGACTTGAAGATGAAATAAAAATTTTCTATGATAAATAAAACTTAAAAGCATTCACAAATAGAAAGTCTGCGTACAGAACATTCTCAACAAAATATTCCATGAAGATGAAATGAAAAATAAAAGTGAAAACCAGCAAAAGGAAAAACTACGCTAAAGGAATAGTCAATCAAGGATAAATTAATTCAAATTAAAAACCAGAAATAAACCAAAATGACTGAAATATATATCATATCTCAATAATATCTTTGAATGTTAATAACTCATCAGTCTAAACACATATACTGGCAGATTGTATTTAGAAACAAGACCCAACAATATGCTCTCTCCAAAGAGACTTACCTCATAGGCCAAGACATTCACAGACTGAAAGTGAAAGGATGGGAAAAAAACATATCACTCACATGGGGCTTGTAACAAGCAAGGGTTTCTATCCTCATTGCTGTGCCCCTCCCCTGACTCAGGCAATGGCAAGGCCCTACTGAGGTGGATGGCGCAAGGCGTCCATCCTCTGGAGGAACGCAGTATATTTCTGGGAATGGGCTGATTTGTTTTTGTATTCCTTTAATAAGTATAGTTGCAATTTCTCATATGACCATTAAGTATGAAGGAAAAAACATGACTTTCCCAATTAATGCAACTATTTCTAAAGCATAGATCTGTTTGCTCTAAATGCAATGATTCAGCTGTGGAGTGTAAATTGTTAATGTCTAATGAAAAACTCCCTGTATTCCTGTCAAGGAAGTTTTTGAGAAATTAAATTAAAATCTACAGAAGAAAAATTAATGTTAAGA